GGAGAATATGACTCGAAAGAAGAAAATAAAAACTCACAATGTGTATTTGTAAGTATTTTGAAGGAGAAGTATAAAAGATATTACACACAGCGGTCTGCTTAACTAGAACTGAGAAAACCAATTTAGAACAGTCTTGTCGAAAAAATCTTTCACGATTTAGCTATATAAACAATAAATTTATTTCTATTCTTCTTGTAGTTATTTGGAATTCTTCTATAACGTATCAGTTTTGCAGGATATTGTACTGTTGCATCTTTCACGATTTGCAAATATATATTTACTTTTCAGAGTGCAAGTAGTATTGATAAGATATGCGAACAAAAGTCTTCGTACTTTTTTCTCAAAGAACTCATTTTTCATACTCAAACTCTACCAATAAACTTATCAACATGTTTCAAAAAGACTCTAGAACTGGTAAACTCTCCGACATTAATGATAACAATTTTCGATAATGAAATCGGAAACAGTTCTTTCTTCTGAACTCTGCATATGAATAGCTGATGCTATATTTTTGGCATCAGGTGTGTTTATAATTGCATTTGATCATACAGCATCTAGTTGTATGTAGTCAGGATTAGGCATGTGATAGCTTGATTCAGCTCGTAAAAAGCTGCAGTTGTCTTGTGCCTTACGATGTTAATACCGAAAAAAGTATTCAAAGACAAACTTTATATTAACATGTTATTCACATCACTTAAAATGCCCTGTATCTATTCCGCAAAGGCTACGTCAAACAGAATTTCAGCAATTTATATTTAAACCTTCAATGCTTTATATTCAAATTGAAAGCATAATTTTTCAGGAAAGCCTCACAAAGTATTGAACGGAATGTAATCTATCATTTGGTGAATTTCATTCAGCTTAATCGACATCATTTCTGTGTCAAAGATTAATAAACGAGGATACATTTAATCAGAGAAATCAACACACAAGTACACATGAATACCCAAAAAGCATAAAAAACTATTTCAAAAGTCTCATTTTATTTTGAAACATGCAAAACTGAAGTGTTACTTTGCAGTGAAACAATCTCAAGGTATGCAACGCAACGTGTATGTTAATAGAGCAAAACAATCTTTGAATACGGATAATCAATTAAATAATCTGTATTAAATCTTTACGAAACCTTACGTAGAGCACATTCGTCTCCTTCTACCTATAGTTTCAACTAATCAACTCTAAAAGCTCAAGACAGCACGAGGATAGACATGATACGAACAGAACTTCCAATAAAACAGACACTGAATATGTTCGATTGTTTTCTAGGACGGTTACGTTTACGAGATCAGAATTAATTATTAAAACTCATAGTAAAATAAAATTTGAGGTAATCGATATAGAGGAAAAGTAGGGTGCGATAATATCTTCTGTTTCCTGCTTGTTGTCAACAGGTAAGAAAAAAAGAACAAAAGACAGCAAATATTCCAAAGATTCTTGTAAATCGCATAATCACATCAATTTCTGTACGTTAGGACCTAAGGCTATGCTAAATTTTTGTTTCGTTAAAAAAGCTGAATTTAATTTGGATATTTTGTGTCATTATCCAATTTATACCAACATTTTCGGATGGTGCGACTTCCTCGATATACTAAATCTAGACTAAATAAATGTTCTCCAGAATAGGTAAAGTTTTGATGGATAATATCTTACGATGATGACATAGTCTAGTAATGTATATTTTCAGGAAAATTCTCAAATTTGATATGCAAGACACTAATTTGAAAACATTTAAAATTAAACAAATTTCTGTAAAATGTACGTTTCAAGAAAATGGTATTCAACAAAGTTAGGCTTTCCAACCAGAAAGAAGCTAGGTGATGTAGTTCCACTGGAATTTTGAAAAACAATATGCAATTTTCTATCAAAATTCCTAATGCATACCCCGAAACTTCTGAAAATCTTTTAGAAAATCCTGTGTGAAGCATAGTGTTGAAGTACTAATTATCAGTTATCTGGAAGAAAGCCTAGTAGCTGAACTATCCTGACGCAGTTTCTACCAGAGAGTCAAATAAGACGCCTTGAATCGAATTTGGAGCTCCTTTGGTAAAAATAATCGAAAAATAGTGTTTGACTATACGCAATTAAGTACTACGAGTATTAGTATGTCAGATGGAAACAAAATCAACGTGCCTTTCTTCTAGTCTTTCATAGTTTGCATACCTTGACTTTCTAGTATACTCTTGTTGTCAATATTATCTGTAGTAACCAACGATTGTTTTAATGATTCTTCATAACTGGGTGGCATTGAGGAGAAAGTGTCATCACGACCATATACTGCCACATCGTTTTGATTATTATTCAGTTGTTTAGAAGGCACATTCTCAGTTAAATTGCTTTTTGGAACTCCACTGGCTGAATAAGTTGTTGATCCGATGGCATCTAAGAAAAACATAGCTTTGTGATAAATGTCTCAGTATAAAGCATTTTCTTCTCCTCTACAAAAAACAAATACACAAACTACGGGACGAATTAGATTAAATAAAAGAATTAAATTCTATTTTGCATGTGATAAATTCGGAGCATGAGTTTTTGTTCGGTAAAGGACGGGTAACAACATTAGTGGAAATTTTTCATACTTTCTTGGATTAGTTCAGTTCTTGAAAAAGGAGAATATGAATGTAGTCAATAGAGTTCAATGATTTTGGAAAGTTAGGAACTAAAATAAAGTTTTCCCTTTATGGTCACTCGTGTAGCGTTATTGACTAAAGCTATAAAATAGAAGTTGTAAGCTGGAGTAGCAATATTTTCGCTTAGGTTAAGGATAGTAAAGAGACTAATAAAAATAATGAATTGAGTTTAAAAAAATCTTTTATTTGAATAACTGTATGTAGAATAATCTATATCAAGTAGTATGTTGGTTAGGACTTATGCAAATTTCTTCTGACACTGAGAAGAATAGATAGGATCATATCAAGTTTTGTTGGTACCTATTCAAACTGGTTCATGAGAATTCCGACTGTTGGATTACCAACTCTGTCAGACGAAATTCTGTCGAAGAAAAGATTATTGGACGAATTTTGATTTTTCAGCTTTGCATGGGATCTAATGTCATCTAAGTTTTATGACTGCTTCGTTTTTCCTCTATATTTTAGTTGAAAAAGTTAGTTACGAAGCCTTTTTTAATTGAACAGTTAAGTAAAACGAGCTCTTAAAAGACTCTTGATTCTTTGAAAATTCAAAATTGTCGGTTTCACAGATCCGAAAAATATTTTCGAAATGGAAGATTTCTGGTGATAAGGGTGTGGTTGCGATTATGAATCTTCTTTCATGCTTTATCCACATCTAGAAACGTTCAAAATTACACCCAAGTGTGGAAAAACGTGAGTGAAACAAACCTTACTATATTTTACTGCACGCTCTTCAGTGTAAACAGCTTTTCTGCGTACTCTTACTCGTGCAAATAATACCTCGTATCCTGTGAACTGGTTAGTCCCCAGTGGTAACCGTCCCAAATGTCTTTTAGAAAATGCCCTTGACGAAATGTCCACGGATTTTGGTCCTTCAGTGAAAATGTCCTTCGAAAAAATGTCCTCTATTATCAAAATGTCCTTTCAATAAAACAGGAACAACGATTAATCATAATATTAATCGGATAATTTCTTATTCTAACGAACGACTTTATAATTTATTTTTAATGTCCAACACAAAAAGAAAGTTCTTGTGATAAAGATTTGACTGTAATATTTTATCATTGCACCGATTGTATAATTCTTTAACTTCTTGTTCAGCAATTTCTTGGAATGGTAATAATTTATTTTCAGCTCGTTTTCACATTTCTTCTCTCAAATTTCTTATTTCTAATTCAGCTGGTTTTGGTGGATGAGAGTGCTCGGTCATACTACCAGAGAAACGTACAAACTCATCATTGAGATTCGTGTGTAAAAGTACACCACAACTTCGATTGGCGCATCGCGAAAATTTGATTGTCTTAGCTTTATTATAATCTTTCATTTGAAAATAAAAACCATGGCCTGTTATCATTGGTTTTCACTTATTCGACGTTGTTTTATTAATCGTTACTTTAGCTGCAGCTGAAGAGGAAGAATTTAATGACGAACATGAAGATGAGCATGATGAAGATGAAGAGGGAAATGACGGTGACAATGATGTTGACGTCTCATCAATTATAACGAAATCGTTCGATGCCATTTAGAAATTTTTTTTTACTTATTAATTTCGTATATACACAATTAATAATTGTGTAACAAATAGATTTTTTTAAATTTCAATCCTTCCATCGATGAATACTAAAACCTCTATTCATATAACTTAATCACTACAAATGTATATTCGAATTATAGCATCATCTAGGTTTTCGGCATGTTTTATATGAAATCTTTCAAACCAGGAATAAAGGGCGTTTTCACATGAGAGACAATCTCTAAAGGACATTTTTATCCAGGACATTTAGGTCAAGAGACATTTTTCAAGGACGAAATCTAGAGGACAATTTTTTCTGAGGACCGACATTCGGGGACATTTCGTCAAGGACATTTTCTAAAGGACATCTGTGACATGATTCGTCCCAGTCATTCTTACAATCTGATTTAGCAAACATCCTGTACTCCATTATCACTTAGTTCGGATCTAAAAGCTGTCGAAAAGTTGAAGGGACTTCCAAAATGAGAAAAGAATATTCAACTCGGAAAAAGACTGATTCTAAAACTGAAACTTTTAAAAGAATGTATTGATACCGGAAACGTAGTTATGACATATAAAGTGGCGTTAGAAGTATTAAGAATTTCAAGATTTTAACAGAAATCTAAGAAAATTCTTACCGATTTCTCATCTATTGTAATGCTTTTCTATGTGGTAATAAAGTAATTCAAGGTAGTCTAGCAAATCAGCTTGAAGCATCAATTGACTTACTCTAAAATTTAGGAGTTGTAAATATTCACGCTAGTTGCTAAAAGCGTAGGAAAAGCTGAAATTTTGGTTTTCGTGTTTCAGATACCATTCTAAGTTGCCTAAAGTTCGATTTTCTCTTTTTCTATCTCAGACTATTTTTTATAAATGAGAAACTTACGTGGTTTTGTAATGTTAGGGCAGCTTAGTATTGACTGAATCGGGTGTAGCGTTAATGTTGGAGATGGCACGTAATCGATTAATCTTGAAGTCACCATTTCCTCAACTCTTTTAACCAATGGTTCATATTTAACTGGAGCTATTTTTCTTTCAATTGCTTTAATTCCTGATATCCATCCATATTGTGTGATACTTTCAATTGCCATGTTGTACAGAGTGTTCTTTGAATCAGGAATTTTACATTGTTTTAATAGGTCTGGAACTTCTTCTCGATAATAAAGACCTAACGTTAAATGCAAGACTGAGCTTGTATCGTCCATTTGTTCTTTCAGATCATCTTCAGCAATATATTCATTAAAATGATTACAAGTGGATATGCCTCCACTTGTTACTGAATTCCATAAATCCACAAAAACTTTTGGTTCATTTATTAAACAACTGTCGTCGATTTCTGTAAATAGCAGTTGTAATACAATGGACAGCATGGAAGAAGATACTGTATATTCACTACCATACTCAGCTGCACGTGTGAGTATCATTTCAAAATGTTCCACATTGTCACTTTTAACCTTCTGAATAAATTCCCAGATTTTCGGTTGTTTTTCGCATGCTGTTTCCCATCGCTTATAAATATATTCTTTTATTAATTTCAATAAATCTGTTTCTTGAATTATACCAGCGTTTGTTGTCTCTGAGTTTATTTCTCTTGAATAAGTGTCTGGAGCCAGTTCACGTTGATATTGCCTTAAAATTCGACGACCTTTCTTTAAAATATCAGATATTACTTGATCTCTTTGATCGGTGCATTCTAGTTCCAAAATATTACAAATAGATTCTGCCACCTCGCAGGGTATCTCATTCGATTCGCTATTACTGATTGACATATTCGATGATGAGAGAACATTGGGTAGTATGGTTGATACACGGTCACCTTCAGGTTCTCCTTTTTGTGATGCCATAAGTGTTGTTGATATTGAATAGACAAGTGGAAAAGTTACAAATGACATACAGTAACCTAGCAAGAAGACAACAAAGAGCCGATCAACTTTCGATGATTTGCCAGTATAATTTTGCACAAGACAACTTTCCAAGTAGAATGTATCGAAAACTATTTTTCTTTCTACATCATCCATCGAATTAATCAAAAAATTACTTGAGAATCTCCTTATATATAATAGAAATGTAATGAGATTCATGAAGAGTGTGTCTTGCTGCAGAGTGCGGGTGGAGAAGGATATTATGGACATCAAGAGCTTCCTCCCGCTTAAAACTACATCCACCAACTTCGGTATTTATTCTCAAATACGAAAAGTCAATCATTTCGCTGAATGGTGAAAATGGAATAAGATCCTATGGCATTTGCTATTGGATAAATCATCTTTGGGTTGAAATATACATAAAAAATACTATCGAAGTATTACTCAGATTTTGAAGAAAAAACAGTTGAATATCATCAAATATGAACAAAGTTTTAGAATTCAGGGTTTAAAGAGTTTTTTTCTGAAAACTTGATCGTACTATATATTTCATAGGATTGATTTATCTAGGTACTGGCATATTTCTCAATGTGATATAAAAATATTTATTAGTGTAAAGTGTCAAGATTCATGTCAAACAATACTCGAATTAAGATGGGTTTGAAGTATTGATCGTAAAACAAACGTCATATACTCATTACTTATTGTTGGTTATTTCCATCTTCACCAGTAGGCATGCATCCAAACCGTTTGGGTTGTTTTTACCTAAGTGAAGAAAAATCTCTTCATCTACTGAATGACAGGAAACAAAATTTTTCCGTCGGTAAAAAATAAAACTAGAGAAGTGACACTACAAAATACCAAAAGAGAGATTTCGGTAGCGTTGTTACACTATTTGCTAGAGTCAATCAAAAAACCCAAACTCAATGAGTTTGGGTTTGGGTTTGTGGGGTGGTTCAATTTCCTTTGAATCTCTTATTTCAATAAACCTTGGGGCTAAGCTGGATGCTACCAAGCGGGTCCACAGGTTGCGGATAGTGGAACGGCCATTAGTATGATGGTTAGCTGCGAATAAGATCAAGCGATTGATCA